TAGTTGATGGAGCAAAGGAGTTTGTCAGTGGGGACTATAAGAAACGTGTCCGACAAGCTGGATGTGACTTCCGCACGACTGAGCCTTATTCACCATGGCAAAACACTGCTGAAGGCACAATCAGGGAGCTGAAGAAAGACACTGCACGAGTCATGCTCCGTACTGGAACGCCAAAGAGGCTATGGGATGATTGTTTGGAACATCGGGCCTACATCCAATCTCACACCGCCCTTATCATATACAACTTGGATGGGGAGGTGCCGGAGACTGTTATGACTGGACAGACTGCAAATATTGGTCCATGGTGTGATTTCCAATGGTATCAGTGGGTAAAATACTACGATGAGACTGCAAAATTCCCTGATGATAAGATGTCTCTTGGACGATACTTGGGACCAAGCCCTGGAATCGGATCCCTCTTGACTGGAAAGATACTTAAGCACAACGGAAATTACCACCACACCTCCACCTTCAGAGCCCTAACATCCGAAGAAATGGCTGACGACGCCGAGAAACGCCTACGTAATGACTTCAATACCAATGTGAATGACAAGTTGGGTGACAAGGCAAAGCCTGAAGATTTCAGTGAGGACGATCTCACCCCTACATATGATCGTTATGAGGATGACTCTGGAGAAGGGTTGGATCTAATGCCTGACAGGGATGAGCAACAGCACGACTACTATGATCGATACCTCAATGCTGAAGTGCTGCTTGCTAGAGGGGACAATATGGCAACTGGAAAGGTCACTGGACGAAAGAGGGAAGCAGACGGAAGTCTTCGAGGAAATGGGCATGCTGTCCCCATGCTGGACACTCGCACATATACCGTTGAATTCCCCATGGGGCCGAAGCCACTTGTGTAGCAAACGTACTTGCTGAGGGAATGTACCTGCAGTGTGATGAGAACGGCAATCAATTCCTCCTTCTCGACTCCATCATTGAACATAAGACAGACAAAACTGCAATCCAACCTGGCAACAACAGATTCCGATACCATGGACGACTTGTCCAGAAACGTACCACGAAAGGATGGCAGCTTTGTGTCCAATGGAAGGACGGTACCACTACTTGGGAGCGACTGTCTGATCTCAAGGAATCTTTCCCCAGTGAGGTTGCTGAGTACTCTGTCGCAACTGGAATAGATCACCTACCTGCATTCAAGTGGTGGGTTCCATACACCTTGAAGAAACGAAATGCAATCATTGCCAAAGTCAAGAGCCGATACCACAAGCGAACACACAAATTTGGCATCAGAATTCCCAAAACAGTCCAAGAAGCCCGTGAACTTGATCGAATCAATGGCAACGACTTGTGGGAACAGGCCCTGGGGAAGGAGATGAGCAATGTTCGTGTGGCTTTCAAGATGCTCAACGAGGAAGACAAAGCACCAGTTGGGCACACCAAAATCAAGTGCCATATCGTTTTTGATGTCAAAATGGAAACACTCCGCCCAAAATGCCGACTGGTTGCTGGTGGCTGTCAGATAATCAACTCCGTAGCTGTAATGAGAGCCTCAACGCTCTAGCCACCTCTGGAGTATACTGAGCTCGAATCTACGTCGGCTATGGATTGCCTACAATAGGAACAGGTGCCAGTGATG